TACATATATAATAATTAATTAATTAAAGAAAAAATTTTATAAATAAGTAAAAATGTGATAGTTAAAGATAACTATTTACCAAATGTCTGATGTTTATCCAAAATATATAGAAAAATTTAGTATAAAAATAGCTGATTTTAAACTAATTGGTCCTACTGCCTATATACCTTTGCCTGAAACTTTGCCAAAATATAATAATGGAATTATTAATATTCAAAATAATGATAATTGGTGTTTTAGATAGAGTGTTTTAGGAGCTTTGCATTCTGTTAAAGTTCATCCGGAGAGAAATCTACATCATTTATATAAAGCTTTTATAGAGGGACTTAACATAGATGATATCCTAATTTCAGTACCAGTCTCAACACCAGTTTATAAAAAGTTCAAAAAAAATAATCCTAAAATTAGTCTATATGTTTATAAATGGCACAACCAGAATGAGTGTCTTGAATTTCACTATGTTTCAGAAAGAAAAGAGAATGAATATAAGCAAGTAAATCTTCTAGTAATTATAGAAGAAGAAAGAAGTTACTACTATATTATCAAAAATTTATATAAACTAATATACAATCATAGCAAGTATAAAGGATGAAAATACCTTTGCTATTATTGTCTTCATATATACTCTTTAAAGATAAGATACAATAAATATTTGCCAAATACAAGGATCTAAATAATGCCTCTAGCAACTACAAATGCCAGTTAAGAATAGAAGTATCAAAGCTTTTTATAATCATAAATATATATAACCAAATTCATATTACATTTTCTGGGATCTAGAAATGTTAACTGAAAGTTAACTCCAGAAGAGAAAACAAAGTTAACCTATATTAAAAGATTGCAGATGCACAAGCCATGTAGTTATTGCTATATAGTTGTTCATATGGATAGTTTACTTAACTATGAAATCATAAGTTATAATTTATATAGAGACCTAGTACACTTGAAAGATTTGTTACAAAAGTTGAGAAGGAGTTAGCAAACATACTGGAGAACTTATCTGCATTTGCAAAAATGATAATGACACTAGGAGATCTTAAAGTATACAATAAGGTAACAGAATACTAGATTTGCAAAGAACTTTTTTTAAAGCCATCACAAGAAGTATTACAAAAATTCGAAGAAGCAAACCATAGATTGCTAGAACTTAAAGAATGAAAAGCTAGTATAGAAAAGGATTACCTAGAAAAGAAAAAGATACAAAAAAAATACCATGAAGCTTTAAGTTCTCTTAACTACAAAGTAAAAAATCATGATTAAATAAGTGGTAAATACCAAGGCCCAGCTTATGACTCTTGTAATAAAAAATTGCATATAGGCTCTTTCGAAACTAAAGTGCCTCTTATCTGTCATAATTTCCAGAGTATGACTCTCATCTGCTTTTGAAAGTTGTAAGCAAGTTCATGGCTGATAAACTAAATTGTATTTCAGAAAATATAAAAAAGTATAAGGCCATGAATATAAATCAGCTTTGATTTCTTGATAGTTTTTAGCATATAAGAATGGGTCTTGATAAGTTAGTAAAATGTCTAGAATAAAAGATCGAAAAATTTTTTTTAACTGTAAAATACTTTACAAGAAAGGCTACTTAATAGATAAAATCAAGCTTTTTTCTAAAAAGAAGTATTCCTATATAACTGGACAAACTTATAGAAAAAATTTAACAGAACAAGCCTCCTATCTAAAAATAATTTTTATTCGATTCTTAGTCAACAAAATATTAGTAAAGAGGATTATGAATATGTATAAAAAATATAGCAAACATTTGAAATACAAAGTTTTGGAGAGTATTAAACCTTTATCTCAAAACTGATATAGTTTTACTTGCAGATGTTTTTATAAACTACACTATTATATGCTTAAAAGATAATGGCTTAGATCTTTCTCATTATGTATTTGCACTAGGAATGTTTAATAATTCTTTATACAAAAGTAGTAGAGCTGAACTTAAGCTCATAACAGATATGAATAAGTACTTGATAGTTGAGAAAGGTATTCATGAAGGAATAACAATGGCAAGTTATTGATATGCCAAAGCAAATAATTCACAAAATCCAAACTATGAGCCTAGCAAGCCAAAGTTCTGGGCCTTATATAAAGATATGAATATTTTATATTCAGATACAATAACTCAATACATATTTACAGAAATTCTAGATAAGGTAAGTCCAGAGGAAGTACCAAATATCCAAAGTATTGTGCCAGATGCAGAAATAGAGTATATACTTGAAGTTAATCTAAAAGCTCAGTACACTTGTATGATTACTTTGCAGATTATTCCTTGGCATTAGAAAAGCAGATAGTATCAGAAATTTGGCTTAGTCTATATAATAAAATATTAGTGCATAATAAAAATGTTGAAGAAGAAAAATATATATCTGAAGAGAAGCTAGTTTAGACACTTTTTACTAAAAAGAATTATGTAGTTTACTACTGAGTTCTCTAGATATATATGAAGTTCAGAATAAAGATTACAAAAGTTTATAGTGCTCTCAAGTTTAGACAATCTCTGTAGATGAAAAAATATATTAAGAAAAATATTTGTAAATACAAAATAACTAAGGTTAATAGAGATAAGTTTGGGGTTATATATTATAAACTAAAAAAAAATGCTGTCTTTGATAAACAGATAGAGAATATTCATAAGTATATGAGAGTAGAGTTATTTCGAACAGAAGAAGATAAAAAAATTAGATACTTAGCAAGTTTACTATTATTTATAGGTTTCAAGCAATTTGAAAAAGGAATTATAGCTATTTACATGTTAAAAAATATAGTAACTTTAAACAAACCAATTTATATAGGGAAAGCAATTCTTAATATTAGCAAGGCTATGATGTTTAACTTTTGGTATAGTTACATAAAGCCTTACTATGAAAATAAGGCCTATCTACTTTATACTGATACAGACTTGTTTATTATGTAGATAGAAACAGATGATATCTATAAAGATCGATCAGAAAGGCCAAATATTTTTGATCTTAAGTATTTAGAAGACTTGTTTCTAATAAAGGATAAGACAAAAAGAAATCCAATAGGCGAATTAGTATGTTTAAAGCCAAAAATATATTCAGTTCTTTCAGCAAGTTATAATTCTAAAACTCCCAATAATCCAGATTCTAAAAACTCTAAAAAGAAGCATGGAATACAAAAGGCAAAGGGTGTAAAGAAATGCATAGTTAAGCAGGAACTTCGACATGATAAGTTTTTAGAATATCTTAGAAACAAGAAACTAACCCAACATGATATGTATAGTTTCTATAGTTATGATCATCAAATATATCTGGAGAGAGTAAATAAAATCAGTTTAAATCTATATAATAACAAATGCTGGATTTTACTTGATGAAATTCGAATCCTTCTCTATAAACATTGGTAAATTGGATTATATAAATGCCTGGTAGTATCTAAAATAGCTCCTGAAGAAGCAGAAGAAAGAGCTATGAAAGCTAAACTTTGTTTCAAAGAATAGATACTTTATAAGAAATATTTTTTTAGGTAAAAAATTAATAAAGAGTATAAATTTTATTAATTAAAGTTTTTTAATGTTATAGTAAAAATATACAAGAAAATAATTGATTATAAGGATATAGAACTTGCACAAGTCAAAGTCATAAAAACTATATTGTGAAAAGGCAAAAATATAATAATCTTGCAAAAAACTATAAAGACTATCTAAAAAAACTGCGAGCTAAAAAGAATCTGAATAACTATATCAAGACAGTTGCAGTTAAGATGTTTTCTAATAAAGAGGTATACACTATAAGCTAGAAAATTATCAAAATAAATATGCAGATGAAGACTTATATATTAGCCTTGAGGAGCTATATAAACTCTACTACCTTATAGCCAAAAAAGAAAATCATAAAAGATCTGATGAAGAAATAAAATGAATGCTCAAAGCAATAGCAATCTAACTCACCCCAATAAGCTAGACTAGTGATAGATAGCGAATTATAAAGCTTACATAGCCATTATATGTTATTTTTTTCTTTAAAATAAAAAATATTTGCAGAATATTTCAAGTTGGAAAACTTGATATGAAATTAAGATATTATACAAAAATTCTAAATAAAAATAAAAAGTATTAGTTAAGTAAAACAATATATTTGATATATAATGTATTCATATAACTCGCTCAATATTCAAGATATTTTTGAGGAATAGACAAAAAATAGTTATACCCAATACATGTTAACTGAATATAGTTTAAACTATATCAATAATCTAAAAACATCAGAAGCTTGGTTACGATTTGCAAGTATCATTCACCCAAATATATACGTAAATATTTATTAATACCAGGATATAAAATAAATAGTAAGGATCATTAGAAAAATTTTGTATTTTGTATTAAAAAAAATTTAATAAGCATATTGTTTATAGAAAAAAATAAATAAATTTGGTAGTGATTATTATCCAATAAGCATATCATTTATAGAAAAAATAAATAAATTTAGCTATAATAATTCTGCATGTAATAAGGAAATGGCTTTATTGGCCAAATGCATATTAATGAAATATGCTCAAGAATAATATTATTAAAATGCTAATAAACTTAAGAATTGCTAGTAGATTAAGTAGCTCAAGGAAAGTAATATGTTGGTAATAAGAAAGTGAAACTTAGAAGAAATTAATCTGAGTAGTTTGATCCAACTAGTCTAGAACAGTGATTACTAGTTTAGGAGATTTTTTTCATTTAAAGATATAATATATAATATACACTATGTATAGCATATTTAAATATTTTTAATATATCAGAAGTATTAGAACAGATTCTACATTTCTTAGCAGTAGATAAATTACTCTATCTCAACTTATTTGTTTGCTGGTTTTGGTACAGATGCAGTGCTTCTATTCTATGGTATCATATTGAGTTTTTTAACAAAAATTATCAGCAGAGCCAGTATACTCTAAACATGTCTTAGGTTCTTACTTGGCAATTGATAATCTTTAAAAGAGTTATACATAGAAAAATAAAGCTACTCTATTGTTCAAAGATGGTATATCTCAGATTGGAAGGTTTAAAAATCTCAGATGCTTTAATCAGTACAATTCTTCATTCATATTTAGATATATACTTTTTCATTCTTGATAAAAGTAAAGGTTTTACTAATATACCAATTATAGAGATTGTAAGATTTTCTCTAAAACTACAGCATCTGAGTCTTAATTCATGTATGTCTTACTAATTGATGTATCACTGAAATTGCTTGCTCATACTCAAAACTTAGATATCTTGAGCTTGGCAACTGTTTGATTGGTTATGAAGCTATCGAGGAGATACTATGCAACTATACCAATTTGAAATATCTTGGTTTGGAGGGGTGTAAAGAGATTAGTGAAGAAGTAATAAAAAAACTTAATCCTAAAATTAAAATTAAATATTCTAATTATTTAGATAATAAATAGTCCAGTTCTCATTCATCTCTATCTATTCCAATCTTTATGGATCTATCATTAGATAGAACAGGATATTATAATATTAGCAAAGAAGCTATAGATTAGCTAAATCTAAATATCTATATCAAGAATTTTGTAGGCACTAGAACAACTCCTGGTCTTATTGGAGTAGTTAGAAATCATCTTATATAGCTAACAGTACTAATAATCAAATTTTAGCTCAGACTTTTCAGAACCTTTTAAATCTAAATATGCAATATAATTTGAAGTAATATTCCAATTCAGAGTTAACTAGATTAACAGTTTGAAGTGGTAATCATTGATTAGATTTTTTTTGCTAAGCTAGGGGGTTTTATAGCATCATGCGAAGCACCTCTAATTTGTGAATAGTTCATGATAGCTAGTGAAGATCAATCAATTCTGGCTTATACTAAATAATTCATAAATAAACAAATTACCAAATCTGAAATTAGTTTGTAAATTAATTTTTTTAGTTGTAAAAAATATACTATAAAATAAGCTAAGTATAAAGAAATTTTATTATGAAAACTTAACTTGTATCTTATTAATATTATATCTCTTACTAATCTTCAAAGTTTTACTCTTAATATTTAAAAAAAAACTAAACACATCACAGTTTAAATTATTGAAGTTACAGAAGTATCATTATGTTCAGAATGTAATAAAAATATTATAATAAATAGTTATGAACTATTTACAATCCAAGGGTGTGGTGACTTAGTGAAATGGTGGAGTTGTTGCACCCCCAAACAGCAGGTCTAGAGTTCAAATCTCATGGTTGATGATTTTGAAAAAACTAGATCTATATTGATTAACGTTAAGATTATTAGTTGGATCCAGATATCTGTAATCTTGGTCACATCATCTTGAATGGGAGCTTCGGCGCAATAAATCCAGGAAACCGGAATTACCGAAAATCCGTTTGGCAAGCCCCGAGTTGGAAAGTAGCAGTGATCTTTGACGGTACTACAGGAAGACTGAATTTGGAACCGGAAACTGAGACTGGAGAACCGAGCGACCAGGTCCTTAAGTGGGGGGACACACTAGCCGAACCGCCGGGTCACCAACCGGAGGAAAAGGACATGTGCTCTGGAAGCATGTATCAAGGGAAGGGAGACCGTAAGGCACCTAAAGCCTGAGCAGACCAACCCTTTTAGGTTGCTGGCTAGAAGTAAGGGAGGGACTGATAAGAAATCCGGAAAAGAAGGAAGTTGGAACGTAAGTACTGGGGTTGTTGTGAACCTTGCAAGAGCAGAAGTACGTAAGTGGGAACTAATTAGAAAGGTTGTGGCTTGAGATACGAATTGGGTTATGGCAGTATCTGAAATGATAGCTTGAGATACGGACCCGGTAGCGGCAGCACAACATGTACTAGTTGGGGAAAAGTTAC